GAGAGGAGACTAGGAACGAGGGGGGGGCAGGGGGGCAGCAGCGGGCGCGGCACGCGGTCCCTCGGAAGCCCGCCGGCGGGTTCCTCTCCTCGTGCCTCTGTGCAAGGTGGCGCGCGCGGAGGGTTTCCCCGCGGCGGCGCGCCACTGCTGCTGCGGTTCCCCCCCCCCCCTCCTCCTCCTCCTCCTCCCTCCTCCTCTCCTCCTCCCCCTCCTCCTCCTCCTCCTCCTCCCTCCTCCTCCTCCTCCTCCTCCTCCTCCTCCTCCTCCTCCTCCTCCTCCTCCTCCTCCTCTCCTCCTCCTCCTCCTCCTCTCCTCCTCCTCCTCCTCCTCCTCCTCATCCTCCCCCTCCTCCTCCTCCCCCTCCTCCGCCTCCTCCTCCTCCTCGTCCTCCTCCTCCTCCCGTCAGTCAGCACGAACGAAATGGGTACGGAACAAAAATCCGTGCAATGCCGAACAGCAGTTTTTGCTCATTTTGAAGGCTCGCTGTCCGCGGCGCCTCGGCCTGTGTCCATTCGAGGCAGGAGAGGGCCCCTGCCCAAGAGCGGCCGCTGTCGGTTTGGGGCGCCGCCTGTTGTTTGGCATTGTACAATGTTTTTCCGTACAGTCGCGGCGCTGACGAGGGGACCCTATTCGTTGGGGAGGGGCTCGGTGTTCCTCGATTATTTACCAGTTGCCTCAGGTTTTCCTTCGGGCTTCCTTGAGAAAACCGAAGCTTAACTTCTGGGAAAAAGGGGGCCCCGTTCCTTATTTAGGGTTCCTGAGGTCAATGCCCCGACTGTGCCCATCTCGGGCGTCCAAAGGTCAGTTTCCATCGGGGGGCTGCGACGGAGGCGGAGATCGTCGTCTTCGTCGACGGCAGAGCTGTCTTGCCTCTCGGCATCACGGGGCCGCCCGCCGCAGGCCCCATGGGGCCGTCCACGTGCATGAAGCTCGGGGAAAAAGACGGGGGCGGAGCGCTGGTGCGAACCGTCCCCCCTTTGGATTCTCAAGAGATGTCTTCCCCCAACCCCTCGAGTCATGGCAAAAATCATGACGGTGAGTTTCTGGCTACGTCCAGACCCTGGGGGGCCCTCGCTGGGCCGCGGGACCGTCAAAACAGGACTCAGGACGAGAAACCCGTCCCGGGGAATCGGTCCAGACCGCTGCGGGCCCACGTCATGAAAAAATCATAACGTCGGGGGTCTCTGCCAAGAGGCCAGGCGGACGAGGTGGGAGTCAGGGTAGTGCATGTATTTGGCCAGAACAGCCCCAGGCGGACATCACGCGCATCCCTGGGCTCTCATCACCCAGCTATCCGATTGCGTTCGGGGGCGAATGCGCGTATTGCTCCCTCCCCACAGGGGCTACTCGCCCTTGTCGCGGCCCCCCCCCCCCGCTCAGCGTTTCAGATAGTTGAGCAGTCAGTTGCTTGCCGCCCAGCACGCGTTTCTTTATCAAGGCAGGGCTGTGTGACTGCCAGGCTGTCGTAGTAGTTGGCTGGCTCCACGGTCTGGAATCCGACCGCCGCCGGTCGTGCGAAGCGTCGCACGCGGGCCGTGGATGCCCCGGCGCAATGCCACCCCCCCGCGTCTGAAAAAGCGCAAGCGCTCCCGTCGCAGGGGCTTCGGGAGCCGTGAGGGCAAGGCAGCGAGACCACGACAGGGACGGATCCTCCTCGCCGTCGTCCTCTTCCGCCTCCCCCCTCGCTTTGACGGCCAGCCCTCCCTCCTCCCTCCTCCTCCTCTCCTCATCTTCCTCCTCCTCCTTCTGCTCCTTCCTCTCTCCTGCCTGCCTTCGTTGACGATTATGGCCGGGAACGACACATGAATTATACCTCCCCTTTTCTCCTCGCTCATCTTCTTGACAGAGCTATCCAAAGGAGTCACGAGCGAAACCTTGCGAGTTTGACCCCCGGTTTCCAAGGGACCCGCGTTCGTGTTGAACCGTTGCAAGAGCTGCTCGGCCATCGGGGCAAAGGGTATGTCGGCTCGTGAAAAGTATATGGCGCTGTCCTGTTTTTGTAACGGGATCCGGACCAGATCCAGAGCCCGAGCTCTCGGGTATCGCTCAGACGGCTGCTGTCCTTTGTGTGGCCTAGCCGACAGCGTGCGCCACCGAGCGTGGCACGGTATGCACCCTGACGCTGTGCAGTCTCGGACCGAGGCGCTTGGTGATGCACCAGTTCCTTGGCATGAGGATGCCCTTGAAAAAGATGACAGGACGTTCTATGATCAGCTTCGGTGGGAACACCCAGAAAACACTTGGCCCCTGCCCAGTCTTGACCCCAACCCACACCTCTACGATCCTAGTGGACAAGAGATTGAATGGGGGAGCATCGACTTAACGCACGTCGATGTTTGTGTCGATGGATCGGCGATGCGGCATCCCATTCGTGAGCTCTCGTGTTCTTCTCATGGTTGGGTCTTTTGGGGGGCGGGATCCGATGAAATTGTTGCTACTGCTCGTGGTGCGGTCCTCGATGCTCTCACCCAGACGTCTCAAGCGGGGAAGCACCTTGGTATGGCGTTGCTTCCGATGTTTCAGAAGGTCGGAGGGGCTCGGCACGGGGATCCGATGACGGTCGTTCAATTATGTCAGAGCTCCAGAGCCCAGCAGGTTTCCCGTAGACACCGCTGTGCAGGTCTACGCCGCGGCGCGCTGCTGCATGAGACGGCAGGCCATGAGCCCATGGTGCAGCACACACCTCGCGCACGGACAGCTCGAGGAGATCGATCTCCTCCCTGCAGATGAGAGGCGTGTCGGTCCAGGTCGCTGGCATGCGGATGTCCGGGCCAGGAGAGCCTCTCCTCGACCACCCCCAGGCTTCCCCGCTCGAAGTGCGGGAGGCGGATGCGCCATTCGCCAAGCTCCAGGTTGTGTCCCGCGTCGTAGGTAAGGTCTTAGCGGTTCTCCCGCATGGGGGAGGTGTGAGAGGTGCGTGGGAGGAGGTCCCTAGGGCCAAGTTTTTGAAATCGGGTGGCTGGCACGCGTGGCAGGACCTCGAAGAGGGTCGAGCGCGTTGCGTCCGTTGTCTGGCCCTCTCGCACGATCCCCTCTCGCGCCCCGTGGTCGGTTGTTCAGGTATGTCGGCCACTCCCCGAAAGACTTTGGACCTTTCCGTGGGACACACCCTCACCCACTGTAGAGTAACCAAAGGGGAGAAGGAGCTCGTTTTGTTATTCTGTCTGGGTTGTGGCGCCTATACCTCGAGTAGGTGCTATCTTTGGGGTAGGGAATGTTCCCAACATAAACTGCCGGGAGCCCCTACTACCTTGCGTAGGATCTTCCAGGGGCTGTGCCCCCATTCTAGAGAGGACGGCGCCCGGGTTGGCTCCTCCGACTGGCGAGGAGTGTCGAATCGATCCTACGCCTCCACGCGGCCCCCTCCTGAGGAGGCGAGCGCGTCGCTCGGTCACGGGGGTCTGATAGAGACTCCTTCCTCCCCCTCCTCCTCCTCCTCCGCCTCCTTCCTCCCCTCCTTCCTCCCCCTCCTCCTCCTCCTCCTCCTCCTCCTCCTCCTCATCCTCATCCACCTCCTCCTCCTCCTTCTTCTCCTCCTCCTCCTCCTCCTCCTCCTCCTCCTCCTCCTCCTCCTCCTCCTCCTCCGACCCCAGACATGCTGGCCCTCGCTGAACGCATCAAAGCGAGGGAGCGAGCCGCGCCGCAGAGCGCGGCTCAGCAGCACGCCGAAGGTAACGTTTTTTTTCGAAGCGCAGCCTGCTTCAGGGTTAGGCCTCCTGAGAATGAACAACTCTCTCCTCCCTCCTCCCTCATACCTGCTCCCTCCGCCCTCCTCCTCCTCCTCCTCCTCCTCCTCTTCCTCCTCCTCCTTCTCTCCTCCTCCTTCCTTCCTCCCCCTCCTCCTCCTCCTCTCCCTCCTCCATCCCTCCTCTCCTCCACCTCCTCCTTCCTCCTTCTCGTCCTCCTCCTCCTCCCCCTTCTTCTCCTCCCTCTCCTCCTTCCTTCCTCCTCCCCTCCCTCCGCCTCCTCCTCTTCTTCCCTCTCCCCCTCCCTCCTCCTCCCCTCCTCCTCCTCCTCTTCCTGTTCCTCCTCCTCCTCCTCCTCCTCCTCCGTTTCCTCCTCCTCCTCCTCGTCCGCTTCCTCCTCCTCCTCCTCCTCCGCCTCCTCCTCCGCCTCCTCCTCCTCCATTCCTTTCCCTAATGAATAACTTCTCCCTGTCGCACCCCGAGGCCAGCTTTTAGGGCGGTCTGGACGTTTCACTTGTGACCTTGAAGCTTAAGAGTTGACAGCAGTTTCATAGATCGAGAGCAGGTCGTTTTCAACATATGGTTCTCGCCTTAGCACCGCGCACATTCGTTAGTAAACAATTGCAAGAGCTTTACGGATTGAGAGCGGGTTGGTTTCAACATGTGGTTCTCGTTTTCGCGCCGCGCACATGCGTTTGTTGAATGAGCAGGAGCTTCACGGATTGAGGGCGAGTCGTTTTCAAAATGTGGTTCTCGCCTTGGCGCCGCGCACATTCGTTTTCAACATTTACGCGCCTCCTCCTCCTCCTCCTCCTCCTCCTCCTCCCTCCTCCTCCTCCTCCTCCTCCTCCTCCTCCTCCTCCCCCTCCCCCCCTCCTCTCCTCCCTCCTCCTCGTCCTCCTCTTCCTCCTCCTCCTCGTCCTCGTCGTCCTCCTCCTCCTCCTCCTCCTCCTCCTCCTCCTCCGTCCTCCACCTCCTCCTCCTCCCTCCTCCTCCTCTTCCTCCTCCTCCTCCTCCGCGGCGGAGGCGACGGCATTGTTTGCACAGGCGAGGGAGAGCAGGACGGGCATGGTGGGGCCAGGCAGGCCAGCCAGGAGGGAAGGAGCAGAGGAGCAGCGGGAGGAATCGAAGACGAAACGGCGAAATGAGCACGCCACAAGCTTGTGTTCATGGCGTGCTTTCCCCCTCCTCAAGGAGCAGAGGAGCAGCACAAGGAAGGAGCAGGAGGAGGAGGAGGAGGAGGAAACGATGACGATGACGATGGTTTGACGATGCCGGCGGCAGCGGGCACGACAGAGCGAGGAGTGGCGCGCGAAGGCCCCGGCTCCGCTTCAGGTCCGCCCTGCGCGCCAGCGCCGCGGCAGCCGCCATGCAGGACGGGCACGTGCCCTGGCGGTGCCTGGTGCCCGCGGACGCGGTGCCGTTCCTCGTGGGCAGGGGCGGCGCCAACATCAGGAGGGTTTCGGGGGCTTGAGGAGGAGGAGTCGGATGTCCGAAATGGTGGCTGGGGCGCGGGTGATTGATGGGCCGGGGTGCAGCAACAGCCTGCAGCATCACAGTCCGAATCCAGAGCTCCCAACCACCATTTCTTCATCGCGCAGGCAGGCAGCAGTAAGCACCATCCTTCTGACCACCGAGGCGTTCCTTCCAAAAGGAGCACCGCCATCGGCGGAACACGCGCCCACCACAGGGGAAAACCCACACCCATGTGGTGAGAGGCCCCCGCGTCCCCCGTCATTTTCTTGTGGGAAGCTCGTGTGTCTGGGGTACTGAGCTGTAGGCGTTGGGCGTGCCGATGACACTGCGCTCTAGACCGCGAAGGCAACACTGAAAAGGGGGGTCCTGGGGGTGGCCCCGTCGAAGCAGCATGTTTGGATGGGAGTTTCTTGTGCCGACAGGGGTGCGTATCACCGCTGGGGGTGTCGCCACGTCCCGAGGAGGGCGACCCCTCAGGACCCCCCGGGCACACCCGAGCCCCGCCCCCCCCCAAGCGCTCACACATCGCCCACGAGGGGCTGGCGCGGAACAGCCATGGGACCGCCACGGGACGCCCACGGGACACCCACGGGACAACCACGGGACAACCATCGGGACAACCATCGGGACAATTATTGGGAAGAACATCGGAACCATCGGGACAACCATCGGAACGACCATCTGGGCAACCATCGGGACAACCATTGGGATACCAATCGGGGCAACCATCGGGACAACCATCGGGACACCCGTTTCGACAACCATTTGGACAAGCATTGGGACTGGGACAACCATCGGGGTAACCATTTGGACAAGCCTTGGGACAACCATCAGGGCAAGCATCGGATCAACCATGGGGACAACAATCGGGACAACCATCGGGACAACCATAGGGACAATCATCGGGGCAACCATGGCAACCATCGGGACAACCATGGGGACAGCCAGCGGGACGACCCTCGGGACATCCATCGGGACAACCATCGGGACAACCGCGAACAACCGCGGGACAACCCTCGGGACAATTCCGTGCACGCCCCACCAGGCTGTACACCGAGTCAGTTTAGGTAGTGCAGGAGTTTGCCCTGCTTGCCTCGCACGACACGAACCGAAACCTGAAACGGATTTCCTGATTGGACGGCTTCGTGACACTTAGGTTTCGCTCCCCCAAATTTTCACTACATGCATCTGTGTTTGTATGTCTGTATTTAAGTACACTTAAGCTGCTCTCGCAGAGGCATGTGTTGAGATGTTAGTGAGGGAGTAGCGCAGCGCTGTTCAGGATTACGCTGCGCAGTTGTGCTGTGGTGCCTGGCGGCACTCGTGATTCGTGTATGCACTGGTACGCAGAATGGCGCCATGCTCCATCTTACAGTGGAACGGCCCAGACCGTGGGATGCGCATGGGAGGCAGCTGAGCGAGACGTCCGGGGCCCACGTGTCCATCTCCAAAGATGACGAGACGCCGGCGTCGCTCGCGGACAAGATCGTCTCCATCGGCGGCAACGTGGAGCAGAAGGAGAGCGCTTGTGCACAGGTGGTCAGGACGGCGCCCCACTGCCCTGCTCTGCTCGCCGGTCGGTCCTCGCTCTTCGTGCTGCAGGGGAGCGCACGGGGGCTTCGCCGCAGCAGCCAGGCAAAGCAGCAGGATCATTCCTGGAGACGTGGGCAGCAGAAGGCACGTCGTTCAGGGGTTTGCTGATGATATCGGTTTCGGCACGGACGCACACGCAGGCGCACACACACACAAACATGGGGATACACAAGATGCGCACGTCCACAACCGGGCGCACATACTTTCACCACAGAGGGAGGTGACGCAGGCTCAGCGAATGCCACACGGGCTCCATGCGCGCATGCACGAAGATATGCACACGTGGCGCTCCCCGCCCTTGCCAGACTGGCTCCCCCACAAGCTGATGGCCCAATTCTGACGCCGTCGCCGGCGATCTGCCCTCCTCGGGGCTCTGGCTCCCTCATCCAACGGCTCTGCTCACCCGCGAAGCTTGGCGACCATCTGTCACCCGCAGCGACTCGCAAACTGCTTCGCCCGCTTAGCCGCCCAGAGTGGGCAACCGCCAGCAGTGCGTCCGCCTCCGAGCCTGAGTACCGCTGGCACGACGGCCAAGAGCAACCCCAGCCGCGGAGGGGCACCACGATGCTCTGCGTGGTTGGGCGTCTCCGCTTTGGGCAGCTCTCATTTCGAGCATCTCACCTGCGAGGGGCTCATGGTCTTGACCCGCGATCTTCTGGCCACGTATCGATCTTCGAGGGTGCGAGAAAGTGGCGTACTCCAGATTTCGTAATAAAAGGGAGGGGGTCTGGACCCTCCAAGACAAGCCATTTCAGACCCCGCCCCGTGGGAGAACCCTCCAAAACATCGTCCCCAGACCCCCCCAGGCCCTCCAAGATGGCCTGGAAGAGACCCCCCCCCGAAATGAGACCCCCCTCCCTTTAGTACGAAATCTGGAGTATCGATCCTCGAGGGTGCGAGAAAGCGGCGTAGCCGAGCGGCATCCTGCCCGAGCAGCCTCACAGCCAGCCCCCGAGGAACAGCTCAGACAGGTGCAGAGGGCGCAGGCCTCCGACCGTTGGCGAACTCCTACCCCTGCGGGTCCAGTGGACGCTGGGGTATCGGACGCCCCAGCGTCCACTGGAGGAGGAGGAGGAGGAGGAGGAGGAGGAGGAGGAGGAGGAGGAGGAGGTTCATCTGGCTGGAGCCATCCCTCAAATCCTGAGCCCCACCCCGTTTTTTTCAGAGATCCGATCTGCAGGGGCAGGGCCCACCCGTGGCCTGCCAGCAGAGGATCGAGCGCCAGGTGTCTTCCTGTGGTCCGCCTCTTACTGTCCTCGAGGTCTGCGCCCGTGGACCCCCGGTGCCCATGGGCCCAGAGATCCGGCGCTGAGGTCTGGACTGTAATGTCCAGGAGGGGGAAAAAAAAACACAGACACAAGTAATCGTCGATTCCCAAGTAAATATGGGAAAATCTGGGAAGGGGGGGGGGAGACTAGAAACCCAGAAAATATGGGAAAATATGGGAAATCCTTTTATTTGTGCGTATTTATTTGTGTGTCCCAGGGCCCCTTCAAATGTGGCTCTCGCGCCCCCCTCCCCCCTCTCGGTGGAACCGCAAGAGGAAGATGGAGTGGGCACAGAGAGGCACCACCGGCACCGTCCATCACCAGACATAGGACACTCTCGTCTGCGAGCCAGAGTCCACGAAGAAAGCTGCAAAAAGCGACGCACCCAATGTCCACGGCGAGTTTGGACCGAGCGTGCACGTGAGAGGCCAGTGGCCTACCGCCGTCCTGCGCCGCGGCGCTCTTCGCATCTGTGTGGAGCGGTGTCGGCGCTTGCCCTGTCCTGTCTTGGCGACCGGTTTGTCATCCCCGGGGTTGTGTTTGAAGCCCCCCCAGGGCGGGTCTCCGCAGTGACCCAGAGCTTGGCAAGGCTGGCCGCTGCAATTGGTTTCGTGGAGGGAGCGCGTTTCACGGGCACCCGCCTCGGGAACAGTCGGCGGCGCGTTTGAAACGGGGAGTGCTCAGCCCAAGATCGGAAGCTGGAGCATATACGTTACCAGTGGCGGGCGGTTGTTCAATCCCAGGACTTGTTCGAGGGTCGGGGACGAGTTTTTCAATCCCAGGACTTTTTCCCAACCATCCTGTGGTGTTGGGTCCTCGTTTTGAAGAGACAGCGCCCCGCGTTCACTCCTCCTCCTCGCCCCTCCTCCCCATAATCATCATCATCATCATCATCATCATCATCATCATCATCATCATCATCATCATCATCATCATCATCATCATCATCATCATCATCATCATCATCCGCATCATCATCATCATCATCAGCATCGTCATCATCATCATCATCACCACCACCACCATCATCATCATCATCGCCATCACCATCGACGTCATCATCACCATCCTCATCATCATCATCATCATCATCATCATCATCATCATCATCATCATCATCATCATCATCGTCATCATCATCATCGCCATCACCGTCATGATCGCCATCATCACCCCTTTCGGTACACCCCTCACACGCTTCGTGGCCCCATAGGGAGCTCAACCGACGGCTCAAGTGGGGGTGCCCGCATGCGTCCGCCACACCCAGCACACCGCTTCGTGGCCCCATAGGGAGCTCTACCGAAGGCCCTAGTGGGGGTGCCCGCATGCGTCCGCCACACCCAGCACAGCGTTTCGTGGTCCCATGGGAGCTCCACTGAAGGCCCCAGTGGGGGTCCCCGCATGCGTCCGCCACACCCAGCACAGCGCTTCGTGACCCCATAGGGAGCTCCACCGAAGGCCCAAGTTGGGGTGCCCGCATGCGTCCGCCACATCCAGCACAGCGCTTCGTGGCCCCATAGGGAGCTGCTCCAGTGGTGGTGCCCGCATGCGTCCGGCACACCCAGCACGGCGCTTCGTGGCCCCATAGGGGGAGCTCCACCGAAGGCCCCAGTGGGGATGCCCGCATGCGTCCGCCACACCCAGCACAGCGTTTCGTGGCCCCATAGGGAGCTCCACCGAAGGCCCCAGTGGGGGTGCCCGCATGCGTCCACCACACCCAGCACAGCGCTTCGTGGCCCCATAGGGAGCTCCACCGAAGGCCCCAGTGGGGGTGCCCGCATGCGTCCGCCACACCAGCACACCGCTTTCGTGGCCCCATAGGGAGCTCCACCGAAGGCCCCAGTGGGGGTGCCCGCATGCGTCCGTACACCGCGTCACCGTGTGGCCCCATAGGGAGCTCCACCGAGGCCCCACCCACATGCGTCCGCCACACCCAGCACAGCGCTTCGTGGCCCCATAGGGAGCTCCACCGAGGGCCCCAGTGGGGGTGCCCGCATGCGTCCGCCACACCCAGCACACCGCTTCGTGGCCCCATAGGGAGCTCCACCGAAGGCCCCAGTGGAGGTCCCCGCATGCGTCCGCCACACCCAGCACAGCGTTTCGTGGTCCCAGAGGGAGCTCCACCGAAGGCCCCAGTGGGGGTCCCCGCATGCGTCCGCCACACCCAGCACGGCGCTTCGTGGCCCCATAGGGAGCTCCACCGAAGGCCCCAGTGGGGGTGCCCGCATGCGTCCGCCGCACCCAGCAAAGCGCTTCGTGACCCCATAGGGAGTTCCACCGAAGGCCCCAGTGGGGGTGCCCGCATACGTCCGCCACACCCAGCACAGCGTTTCGTGGCCCCATAGGGAGCTCCACCGAAGGTCCCAGTGGGGGTGCCCGCATGCGTTCGCCACACCCAGCACAGCGGTTCGTGGCCCCATATGGGGCTCCACCGAAGGCCCCCGTGGGGGTGCCCGCACGCGTCCGCCACACCCATTACGGCGCGCCCTTCACGCGTGTCGTGTCCCACCGATAACGCCACCCACAATGCGCTACTCACAACTGAATATGGTTGGGTCCTTCGCCAGGATAATTCGAGGGTCGGGGACGACGTCGGGGTGGTGTGGTGTATACTATTGTCATCGTCTTCCCGGGGGAACAACGAAAAATGTATACACCAGGATCCCGTATACACCAGGATCCGCTTTCTTGTGCGAGTTTCAGTGCGGGGCCGTAGAAAACGTCGGTGTATAGAGTCCGGCCCCTGACAAGAACATTCGGCGCCGTCGAACGAACAGAGCCAGGGGGGCTCCCCTCCCCCGCCCCGATCCCCTCCCCTCGCGGCGCCGGCGCCGGCGCGCCGGCGCGACGACGACGACGAGCACGCCGACGTCGTCGTCGCCGCCGTCGTCGACGACGTCGTCGTTGCCGCCGTCGCCGTCGTCGTCGTCGTCGTCGCCTACATCGTCGTCTTCATCGTAGCTGTCGTCGCCGTCGTCTTCGTCGTGCTCGTCCTCGTCGTCGTCGTCGTTGCCGTCGTCGTCGTCGTCGCTTACGTCGTCGTCGTCGTTGCCGTCGTCGTCGTCGTGCTCCTCGTCGTCGTCGTTGTCGTCGTCGTCGTCGCCGTCGCTGTCACCGTCGTCGCCGTCGTCACCGTCGTCGTCGTGCTCGTCGTCGTCGTCGTTGTCGTCGCCGTCGTCGTCGTAGCCGTCGTCGTCATCGTCGTCGCCGTCGTGGCCCTCGTCGCCGTCGTCGCCGTCGTCGCCGTCGTTGTCGTCATCGTCGCCGTCGTCGCCGTCGTCGTCGTCGCCGTCGTCGCCGTCGTCGTCGTCGTCGTCGTCACCGTCGTCAGCGTCGTGCTCGTCGTCAGCGTCGTGCTCGTCGCCGTCACCGTCGCCGTCGTGGCCCTCATCGCCGCCGTCGGCACCGTCGTCGTCGTCGTCGTCGTCGTCGTCGTCGTCGTCGTCGTCGTCGTCGTCGTCGTCGTCGTCGTCGTCTTCTTTCTCGTCGTCGTCGTCGCCGCCGCCGCTGCCGCCGCCAGCCGGCGACGGCGGAGGCCCTCGAGGGGGGCGGGGGGGTTCGAACCGCCCCCCACTCTTGAACCAGGGGCGGGGGGGCGCGGCCGGTTCCGGACCCCCCCCCTCAAGCGCCCACAGAGATTTGGCATCGCTCGGACATATGCATTTTTCCTGCGGCGAGGACCATCGAGGAGCATCCTTAATCATTTGGCGAAAAAAACCACGCGCGGAACCAACAGAAACACAGGGAATGGACGTCCGAGCGATGGCCAGGAGAGCGTTCTTTCGCTTGGTGGCTCCAGCGATTTGACCCGCCTGCACTGCTTTTTGCCAGCCCCCGAGGAAGCTCAGGCAGATGCAGGGCGTGGAGGACCGCGAGCCGGGCGTCTTCGTCGTCATCATCCCCGAGGTCTCGGCGCCCGTGATCATCGGGGCGAAGGGCGCGCAGATCAAGGGTCGGGATTGGGGGGAGGAAGAGGCGGAGGAGGAGGAGGAGGAGGAGGAGGAGGAGGAGGAGGAGTTCGAGGGGGGGGACCCAAACCCCAGACGGTACTGAGGATTCGTGACGGCAGTTTTTCCAGATTGTCCCGCTGCCAGGCCCGAGGACCATCGAAATCGTTCTGGGGTGAAGCACCCGTCCTGGAGAAGGCGGCGGGAGGTCCGAAGGCAAGGCCAAGAAAAGATCGTGGCGTAGGAGGTCTCAGAAGGAGGAGGACGAGGAGGAAGAGTGAAGGAGGAGGAATGAGGGAGGAAAAGGAGGGGAAGACGGAGGAGAAGGAGAAGGACAAGGACAAGGAATGGGAGGGGAAGAGTGAGGATCAGGAGCGGAGAATGAGGAGGAAGCGGAGGCACAGGCTCAGGCGAAAGAAGGGGGCAGGAGGAGGATGAGAAGGTGGTGCAGCAGAAGTGTAGACGTGCGACGTCTGTTTGTTGTCCTCCTTTCTATGCTGCTGGCGTGCACCATTCTTGGCTCCGGGAGCCAAGTGCCGAAGAAGAGTGGGAGGAGAAGGAGGAAGGTAGAAGGAGGAGGCGCGGGAAGCGACGGTGACGAAGGAGAGAGGGAGGGAGGGAGGGAGGGAGGGAGGGAGAGAGAGAGAGAGGGAGAGAGAGAGAGAGAGAGAGAGACAGAGAGACAGAGAGACAGACAGAAAGAGAGAGAGAGAGCGACGGGCGGGCGAAGGAGAGAGAGAGAGAGAGAGAGAGAGCGCGCACCACATCGGACTGCAGCGTCGCCCTGGCCCCTGGGCCACACGTGCTCGGTGGGCCCACCTCACGCAGCGGGTGGCGCCGCGTGCTGGACGCGGGTGGTGGGATGACCTTCCCCCTGGGCGCGGACAGATGGCCCCACCGGCTGGACCAAAGGGGACGGACTGCGGTGGTCAGACCCCACGATCGAGGGCCCGTCTGCGCCACCGTGCGCAAGGAGGCACCCGCTGTGAGCGTGCGTTGGCATGCACGCTTCGGCGCCATACGAAAAGGGGCGCCGCCTTGGGGCGTCCCCCGCAGCGGCCCAGAAGTGACAGACAACGCCACGGGTGCCAACTGTTTTCACGGCGGTCTCGGCGGACTGTTGTTGATCGGCTTCGATCCCCCGGACCCTCGCGTCAGCTTGATCAGAGATGCTTTGCGCGCCTGGTTGAGAGAGGCACGCTTGGTCGGAGATTCCATCGTAGCCCATTGCCGCGTGGTGCTCGTTGGTGGGCGGGTGGGGCGTCGGTACCGTCGATTCCGTGGCCTCCGGCTTCCGTTTCGCAGTTGGTTGCGTCTTCTTGCGGCAAGGTGGCTGTCGTCGATGTACGGCGTGGCGTCTTCATTGATGGTGTTGGTTCGTTTACAAGAACCCGGTACGCTGGTGCTGCGATGCTTCTCCCGGGGTGGCGGGGCGTTTGGCGGCGGCGGCCCTTCTGGTCTTGCCTGCGGTTGAAGCAGCGCTTGCAGGTGAGGTCCGGTGACCGCCCTGTCCTGTGGGGGCGGGGAGGGGCATGTCCCTGCCCCTCCCCTGGGCGAGGGTGCTCCCACCTCGGGTTTCTCTGTCACGAGGGTCTCTGGCGAGACGGTCGCGGCATCGGGCCTTGTCGGTGGGCCCGCCTCGGCCGGGGAGTTCGTTTCCAGCCTGCCGATGGCCCACGGGGTGGCAGACCCATGGAGGTGGATCGTAGACTTCGGCGGAGGGCGGGCCGATTTGAGCATGGCGAAGTCATTCCTGGTGGCGTTTTCCCAGTCTGCGTGCTGCACCTCATGGTGCCACCTGGTTGACGTGAGCGCCGTAGTGGCTTGCGTCCTGGTAGCACTCTGTTGTTCAGTTTCTGCGATGCGGTATTTGGCGCTGGCCAGCGATGCGTCGGCGTCGTGTTGTTCAACTCTCCTGTCCGCCCTTGCCGTTCCGCAGGCGTCGTGCTTGGCCCTTTGGAGCAGCGATTTGTGACGTCGATTTGGATGCCTCCTTGGCCCGAGGCAGAGAGGACCAAAGGGACGCCGGCGGGCTTGATCCCGAAGGTAGCCGTTCGCTTGCGTTTCCCTACAACTGTGCCATGGCGACCTAGGAGTTGCATGTTTCTTCGAATTGTACAGTACGGAAGAGGGGTTCGAACGCTGCCGTGGAGGCGTCGCTGAGGTCTTCGTCCGCATGGGTGCGCGCAGCATCTATCTCGGCTGATGCGTGGTGCTGTTGTTGTCTTTTGCGATGCCATGTTCGGTCCGCTTGGATAGCGGTTGCCGTCGAATGGTGTTGCACCTGAGAATTGGACTGTGAATAGTGAATTGGGTTGCGACTAGTTCATCGAGTTCAGGCGCGACAGCGATGGCATCCGCTCACAAATGGCCGCGCGAATGCAGACGACGTTACCAGTTGCGTCGAGTTTGGGTTGCACGACGTTCTGGGGGGCACTTGACTTCTTCTCGTCCAAGTTAGTAGGTGGTGCCTTGGATGTGGCCTCTCGTGGGCTTGGTAGCCTCCGCCGTGCGCTGCAGTAGTGGGATCAGTATTGATCTGCCGGTGTAGTCCGTGTTGATGGGTCCCAGAATCGCGAGGGCCAGAGGTTTGTCCTGAGTGCGGATACGTTGGAGCAGGCGGTCGCCTTCCTTTAGCGTGTGCAGTGATATGCTGTTGGTGTATGACGTTCCCTACCGTCCCTTTCGGGCGCTGTGGTAATTGGGGCATTCTAGCTTTGCGCATCAAGGCTGATGAGAGGGGCCATGCCGTTGTCTTGGTGTTGGTCGGCTTCGACCGTGGCACCAGCTGGTGCGGTGTCACCGTTTGTGTGTTTGTTTGTTGCGTGAGGGAGTGATGCAGCATGGCGAAGCTTATTTTATTCTTCCCGCACAATCTCATTAGTTCGCCCCTCAGCGCTCGCTTGTCGGAGCGGTGTTGCTGGTAGTCGGTGTCGAGGTCAATTCGGTGCTGAGTGAGATCGTTGTATGCAGCGAGTGCTCGGTCGACGCCGCCCCCGCTCTGGAGTGCAGCGTCGCAGACATCCTTTCGAGCCAGGTTGTTCTCTGGTACGGGGGTCTTTCGGTGGTCATTGCCTGGTGGCGTGGGTTGCCCTCTCGGAGCCATGGCGCGCGCGCGGAGAGCAAGGGAGATGAGATCGGACACGTACCAATACCGCGCTGTCTGGGGCGGCTCCGGTCGTCCCAGGCGAAAACGAATGTGGGGAGGGTGTGAGTCACCACACGCCCTGATCGCAAGTGCCCTCGAGCCAAGAGTGGATAGAGAGAGAGAGAGAGCGAGAGTGTGTGTGTGTATGTGTGGAAAGTTTTGGGGAGCAAGGGGGGGAGGGGGAGGGAGAGAGTCAGGAGGGAGAAAAACACAGACACAAGTACTCGTCGACTCCCAGGAGAAGGTGGGAAACTTTGGGAAGTGTGGGGGAAGATGAAGTCCCATAAGATATACCAACATATCGGGAATCCTGGGATTTGTGTCTATTTATGTGTGTGTGTGTCCGTGGGCCCCTCTAGAGTGAGAAAGAGGGGGGAAAGAGAGAGAGAGAGAGAGAGAGAAAAAAAAAAAAGAGAGGCAAAGGCACAGGCAGAAGCAGAGGCGGCGGCAGAGGCAGAGGCGGCGGCAGAGGCAGAGGCAAAGGCGGAGGCAGAAGCAGAGCCAGAGGGATAGGGAGAGGCAGAGGGAGAGGGAGAGGTAGAGAGAGAGAGAGAGACAGAGGGAGAGGCAGAGGGAGAGGCAGAGGGGGACAGAGAGGGAGGGAGAGAGGGGAGAGAGACAGAGAGGGAGAGAGCAAGAGAGAAAGAGAGAGGGAGACAGAGTGAGAGAGAGGGCCATCTTGTTTCACATGCATACATGTGCATTTACATATGCGTTGTTTGAGGATTCGAGAGCGAGAGAGAGAGAGAGACGCGCAGCACTAGATCTTTATCGCGCTCCCGATATCATCGACCATCATACATTTGCACTAGTCGTGTACAGGAGGAAGTGTGTCACTGCATCAGCGCGCATCCAAAAGATACTGCCCATGTTCAAGACCAGTGCGCACAGTATTGTCCTTACGCGCGCACATGCCATACACACTGTTTGATGTTTACGTTGTTTGTGGCTTGAACCGTGCAAGGTCTGGATAGAGTGTGAGATTGTCCACGCCAACGTGCGTACACGGGGTTCGTGATCCGCCGATGTGGGATCTGCATACAAGCGAATGCATGTGGTTTCGCACACGGGGCGATGCACGCGTACTATAGAATCAAGACAACACGTTCCGCTCCGCGATGTTTCGCATTGTGTTGTGAATGTGTCTTCAACGTCGTTGCCACGCCATACACGTAATGCATAATGCAAGTCCGTGCGACACATCATGTTTTGTCACAGTCGGCGCGGCAGATGCCATGATCGATACGTCTCGTGTAGATTTCTAGTTGCCGTTGGGACACACGGGTGTCATGTTGGCAAGGAGGGGAAGTTCTGCACGAAAGAGACACCGAGCGCCGCCAGAGCTGTTCATCACGGCAAATTTCTGTGCCGGGTGCTCGACTGCAGCCAGTCGGGGGAGGTATCATGGAGACTTCTGGTGCTGAGATCAATGTCGGCAGAGAGGCCATTCTTGGTATGACCGACCAGCCGATCAGCATCAACGGTACTCTCGAGCAGGCGGGGCGCAGTTTGGCCATGCCCACAGAGATGCTGCAAGTCATGATGGTAGCATTTCTTGGCCGAGCCGCCTGCGGCCTCCTGACCGCTCCATGAATAACTACGCGCGGCGTTCTCCAAGGTCTCTGCAACTACCACCCTCATCCTCCCATTGGCTGGCGCTTCTCGTCCTCCCCCCTCATCCTCCACTTCCTCGTGCCCAGACATCCGACGCTGCTATTTTTCACTTCGTGGCCCCAGAGGCTCCGATCTCTTCCCAGGGTGCTGCCTGCAAAAGCCGTACTGTCGGAGAGACTGCTGGCCGCGCCCGCCGCACCGGTCAGGTAGTCTCTGCAGTGTCGAGAGTGAACGCGGTCCTCCAGGACATGGTGGACCGCGGGAAGCTGCGGGCGCAGGACTTCGAGTACCGACCAGAGGGCCCAGCGGGGGGGCACCGGGTGAGGAGGAGGCAGGCCGCGGAGGGGGAGCAAGCGGAGGAGAAGGTCAGAGCCTCGAGCCTTCAGGGCTGGGAGCAGGCAGGGGTGGCTTCATACTCGCGCCTTTTTGGCCCAAGCCACAGTGACCCCGGACCGCAGCTATCCCGGATGGTTCGGGCGTCCAACCCCCCCGAATCATCAGGGCTGGGGGCAGTCAGTGGTAGCTACGGGTTCGCGCCTCCGGGATCCAAACTGGAGTTCCCCCGGACCGCAGTTATATTTGACAATTCGGGCGTCCAAATAGAAGGCGATTACCAGGAGGAGCAAGAAGATCAGCCAATAGGAGGATGGTAAAGACGACGGCGCAGGGTCCAAGTTGGTCAAAGGTGGTATCGGCTTCGGCCGGCCAGATCCGATTCGGTTCCGATGCTCCAGCGATTTAGAACGACCCGACGCTCGCGTGTCGTTCTTGTGCATTCTGGCTTCGTGCCCATACAACCGGATCCAATGCACATTTCGAACTGATCCGAACTCACGATTCGATAATGATGATTCTATAAGGAGTAGTAGGAGCAGGAGGAGGAGGAGGACCAGGGTAAACTCAAAAGTCATCAACGATGTTGAAATCCACCCTCCCTCCAAGATCCCTCGTCATGAGCCCCTACAAGAGGTCATTTCCACAGGAATCGCCCCGTTGTGGGACAACCATTTGAACACCTTGAAGCGCGCCAAACCACCATTCTCAGGACTTGAACGCCACGAGTCAAATTGATTTTTACCTCTGGTCGATCCTGAATCGTACCAGTACACCATTCCTGGGACTTCAACACTGCGAATCAATGTAACAGTTGCACCCTGTCAGTCCAGAACCGCTCCAACAAAAAAACATGTTTGGTATGTTAATCATGAGAGCCGGCACGATTTTTACAATTTTGTTGAAACGAATGTGCGCGGCGCTACGGCGAGAGTCACATTTTGAAAACCACCCGTCCTCAATCAGTGAAGCTCCTGCAACTGTTTGAAGCGAATGTGCGCGGCGCTGAGGCGACGGCCACATTTTGAAAACGACCCGCCATCAATGTGTGAAACTCCTGCACATGTTTGAAACGAATGTGCGAGGCGCTACGGCGGGAGCCACATTTTGAAAACGACCCGCCCTCGATCTGCGAAACTCTTGCAAATGTTTAGAACGAATATGCGCGGCGCTACGGCGGGAGCCACATTTTGAAAACGACCCGCCCTCGTTCAGTGAAACTCTTGCCAATGCTCAAAACGAATGTGCGCGGCGCGATGGCGAGACCCGCCTTTTCAAAAACCACCTGCCCTCAATCCGCGAAGCTCTTTGAATTTGTGAGTACGAAAGTGCGCCGCGCGGCGAGAGCCGCATTTTGAAAACCATCCGCCCTCAATCCATGAAGCTTTTTTCAAATTGTGATAACGAATGTGCTCCGCGACTCACGCGCGAGCCACTGTTTGAAAACGACCCGCGCTCGACCCGCGAAACCCTTGCACATGTTTAGAACGAATGTGCGCGGCGCTTACGCGGGAGCCACATTTTGAAAACGACCCGCCCTCAATGTGTGAACTGTCGCAAGTGCTCAAGCACCAGGGTCGTAACTGGCGAGGAAGTGCCAGGCGAAACGCCGAGCCCGCCCTTTCGACCGGCCTCGGGGTGCGACAGGGAGGAGTTATTGATAAGGGAAAGGAGATGAGCAGGAGGAGGAGGAGGAGAAGGAGGAGGAGGAGGAGGAGGAGGACGAGGAGCAGCTGGACGACGACGACTTCAGCAGGCGACGCTTCAGTTCTGCGACCAAGTGTGAACCTTACCCATGCGTGCTCCGATCAACGCTGAGGTATTGAACACCCCCGCTGGGGCTCATGTGGCTGCAGACACCGTTCGAATTTGAACCCCAGCCGTGTTTTCCCAACCATGCTGAGGTGTTGTGTCTTCGTTTTGAAGAGACAAGCGCCCCGCGTTGCTCACTCCTTCTCCTCTTCCCCCCTCCTCCCATCTCTGCCTCCGCCTTCCGCACGTCCGCATCGTCATCATAGTCATCATCGCTATCATCATCACCATCACCATCGGCATCCCTTTCCTGCCTCAGCCCTCCCATGTCCATTTCGGCACACCCCTCACGCTTCATGGTCCAATAGGGAACTCCACCGAAGGCCCCAGTGGCAGGGTCCGCATAGCGCCACCGCGCCCATTTCGACACACCCCTCACACGGTTTGTGGCCCCATAGGGAGCTCCACCGAGGGCCCCAGTGGCAGGGTCCGCATGGCGCCACACACCCCTCACACGTTTCGTGGCCCCATAGGGAGATCCACCGAAGGCCCCAGTGACAGGGTCCGCATGGCGCCACCGCACCCATGTCGGCACAACCCTCACACGGTTCGTGGCCCAATGGGGAGTTCCACCGAGGGCCCCAGTGGCAGGGTCAGCATGGCGCCACCACGTCCATTTCGGCACACCCCTCACACGTTTCGTGGCCCGCAGGGTCCGCATTGCGCCACGGCACCAATTTCGGCACACCTTTCACACGTTTCGTGGCCCCATAGGGAGCGCCACCAAAGGCCCCAGTGACAGGGCCCGCATAGCGCCACCGCACCCATTTCAGCACACCCCTCACACGGCTTGTGGCCCCATAGGGACCTCCACCGAAGGCCCTATTGGCAGGGTCCGCATGGCGCCACCACATCCATTTCGGCACACTCCTCACACGTTTCGTAGCCGCATTGCGTACCCGCACCCGATTTGGCACACCCCTCCCACGTTTCTGGGCCCCATAGGGAGCTGCCCCATCTTGTGTCACCTGCCTTGCGGCACTCGCATCCGCACAGTGTTGGGTTCTTCGCCGGGATAAGTTGTAGTGTTTTTGGTTGTGTTGTGTGTGTGTGGTGCGGTGTTGGGTGTTGGGTGTTGGGTGCTGGGTGCTGGGTGCTGGGTGCTGGGTGCTGGGTGCTGGGTGCTGGGTGCTGGGTGCTGGGTGCTGAGTGCTGGGTGCTGGGTGCTGGGTGCTGGGTGCTGTGTGCTGTGTGCTGTGTGTTGTGGCGGGGAGGGGCGGGGAGGGGCGGGCGGGCGGGCGTGGGCGTGGGCGTGGGCGTGGGCGTGGGCGTGGG